CTTCAAAATTTAAAAGACCACATGAAAAATGCCCATAACTCTACAGAAGTAAGAGTACTTGGACAGAAGTCGCTTATAGAACTATTTGGGAATAAAGTCAAAGATAACAATGTCAAACGGAAACGTGGCCATGGTGATGTAGACGAAGAGCCTCTGTTCAAAACTGCTAAAACGGCCGACTTGTCAATGTCAATATCATCTGGTTCAACACCGCCTGGTTTTGAAAATACAGCCGACGAAAGTACCGCGAAAGTAACGCTCAGCGCCTCCGGAGAGGACAATTTCGCAGAAAGCAAATCCTCAGTTGCATCTAAGCTTGACGAAATACTGACAACTGTAAAGAACTTAGAAAATCGCATGTCCTGCTTGTCCATCACACCCTCACCGGAAACGGTGGCTGTGGAGTCTGAGCTTCCTACAGTTACAGAAAGAAAGTCAGCAAGGTGAGCTTTTCTTTAAATCAAATAAGCAGTGACATAGCTATAGGAATCGGGACATAGGACTATAGGAGGTACATCCACTCCCCAACGTTTCTAATTCAAAGTTCCGCGCTAAAGTTTAAACAATGTCAATAAGGAACTCTCTAACTAGAAGTTGTTTCCTGTGCCCATGCATTAATTGTATACGTACGGACTTATATCAGTTATGTGAATTATTTTACAGTAGCTATATACTTTCCAATGTTTTCTCAAGTTTTAACTTTATTTTTACTTTTAGATCGCTTTTTGATTTAATTCAGCTTCCAGAGTTTGAGTATGACGACATCGAAGGAGTTGTTATATGTTCCATATGTAATCCACCCAATGAACCAAGAGAAGTAAATTTTCTCGAAAGAACCGGCGTATTTATGTATAGTAACGATTCGCAAAAAACATTTGAGAGCGATGAAAAAATGTCAAGACAGTTTCGGAATTTGAAAACTCACTTGTTTGACCACCTTCAAACTCCAACCCACCTCGAGAAACAAAAAGAGATTACAGATGTTGAGACTGGAAAGCAAGAGTTTGAATCAAGAAACAGGAAGGTTGGTATGAGATGTGCCCGTACAAGCTATTTACTTTATAAGACTGCTAGGCCGTATAGTGAGTACGAACAGCTTGTTACTTTAGAAAGTCACAATGGCTGTGATATGGGTAACATCAACCATTCACGTAAGTTCCCTGCTCAAATTTTGCCATTCATCGCAGATGAGACGAAGGCACGTGTTAAAAAATTCTTATGTACACCTCTTGTACAGACTGGTTTTCTTCCTCCTGTTAAAGTTATTGCTGACAAGGATACAAAGAAGCATCGTACAAGACAGGTAGTTCTTTTGGTTACGATTGTACCTGATGCCGCAGAGTTGATACAGTACATCTATCTTGACCATCCGATTGTAAAGAAACACACTGGGAAGGACGTTGCTGCATCAATAACAAATGTTCTTCAAAACTATATTGTTGCTGGACAGTTTGAAGGTGGTGGATTTGATGGTCAGTATTTTCATCTTGGCGTTCCAAAATATGTCAACGCACATTATGAGATTGACTATTCAGATACGTACTATGACTGGGACGTTCTTCATTGCTGTGGCCTTGTTGACACTCGTCTTCGAAAACTTGAGCAGTTCCAGTGGCTTTCCAACATCACCAACACTGTTTCCTCTATTTTCAAATTGTTCAACTGGGGGAAAGGTTACGAGGAGCTAGTTGAAGCATGTGATCGTTTGAAATTAGCTATACAGAATCCACAGTTCTTTTGTGAAACGAGGTTTGCCAATTCTGTGCGGAAAGTCTATGGAAACTTTTTGGCTGATCTATCAGCCATCATTGCCTGCCTGGAGAATACGAAATTTGAGATGCATGACGGTGATGCGAGCGAAAGAGAGAAGGCCCAGCAAGCGGAGCAGTATCAAGTGAAAATCCAGAACAAGAGTTTTTGTCTGCTTCTTTCTGGATTGGCGGATATCTATGAACAATATGGGGTCTTGGTCTCAGAAGTTCAAAAAGTGAACCTACTACCATTTCAGCGATTTGACAAGTTTACAGATCACATGGAGAAAATGAAGAAAATGGTCAAGTGCCTTTCAGATCACAACAACTGCGGGAAGGACAAATGCTTCTGGCCACATTATCACAAGAACAAACCAGGCATTCTTAACGGCCAGTTTGTTGGCACTCAGATTATAGAGGATCACGAAGAACAGCATGTTCATAACACGAGGAGAGCCCGGCAACAAGAAGCAGATAATGCCACCACAAGCCCCGTCATGGCCGCGGAAAGGAAACTCGCTGACTTGACAACCCAACTTGTGAAAGGTTTCAGGGAAGACGTTTATAGCGAAGATGCCTTGGAAATGGTTGAAAGTACAAGATTTTTGACTGATCTGAAATCCTTAGCCATGCAGATTCGAGAGAAAGGACATATTTTATTAGGTGTTCTTAATGCCGACAAGTTTGTTCGAATCGCCAAGAAAATCTCGCGAAACGTCCGCGTTGTGAATAACCAAGAGATAGTTCGACAATACAAGATTTTCGTACGAAGACTGGCATCAAAAACAGAAGCAATAGCAATACCAGAGTTGCAAAAGATGGATAGCAAGGATTTAATAAAAAAATTCCTGACCAGTGGCGGTGAACTATACGTTGGTTGTGAGATGGTAGTTGAAGCAATAGTTGTTGCAGCAATCAAAATGACTGTTGAGTCTATTGCTGAATCAGTTATTTCGCGCTACAATACGCACAACAGTAAACTAAGAAGTATGTCCGAGGAAGCTGTGAACAATGAGCTGTGGATTGCCTGCAACGGCCCAGAGCTTGGTGGTGCTGATCGCATCTTATCTTCAGCCTTGTCAAAGTATTTCAGGCATGGAAACTGGCATTTTGTAACAAGAAAAGGAGAGCAGAGTAAACTTTATAACAGCAAAGTTATAAACAGAATCATCTCACAAGAATCGAGATTGCCCTTCGTTACACAATAGGGTGCATGTTAAGCAAATATCTACTTCACTGTGTTATGTAAAGTTTCTATTTGGTTAAACGTATAAGCATTAAGCAGTCGAACTGTTGATGCAATTGTATGATTTAAGCTAGCCTACTCAGTATTATGTGAGTTATTACAGTAGTTCACTTCGACTTTGTAAATAGATTCTATATACACCACAAAAATATTACTTTTTTTAGTCTATTTCAATAATTATAAGGATAAATGATAAGTGATAACATGCGTTTGCTGTGAGCCTGCCCACAAAATAAAACTGCAAAAAGTGCAAAGAATGATCATTCCTTAGTTAAAACCATAATCACCAATCACGTGTGCATTATACAGGTAGCTACAATTTATAGCGCTATATTTGACATGGTCATAATCTACACACTGCAGGTCTGCAGGAAATTTATAATCTTCTTACTGTGCTCGCAGGAAGAAAATTATTTTTTCCACCCCTGGCCTATGTTTTCAATGAAACACGTAAATTCGGAAACGGTCGAATATATCTGAGCATTAGGCGAAAAATCACGACGAAAGCAATGGTTGCATGCGGTTGGCAATAATCAACCTCTATCAAACCTCGGTTTAATATCTCTCTAACCTTGGTTTAACTTCAATCTGACTCAGTTTGAACTCAGTCTAACCTGTTTCTTGAATACCCAATTGTTGTGGAATCTTAAAAATAATGCTTAAAGCCGTTTTATATATAAATTTTTAATTGGCTTTACTCCTATTACAGGTTAATTTAACATTTTTGGTTCAAGATACGAAAAACGGTAGCGCGATCCTTTCTCCAAATATTCAACTTTGCCGATGCGTAAACGGTGAATGTTTTGTTCCTGAAGCTACATCAGAACAGGAGGCAGCAATCGAAAATACTTTTCTTGTTATGTCATGCAATTGTCTTTTTGGTTATACCGGGGAATTCTGTGGAGAAGTGAGAGATTTCTGTGCAGGAGAATTGACGCCACCTTGTAATCCTTTGGTCACATGCGCTAATTCTGCAGCAGGTTTCATGTGTGGGAATTGCCCGAATGGGTACGAAGGAAACGGACAAATTTGTTCAGGTCAGTTAATTAACCAATTATGGAAATAACTGACAGTCCTTATACTCCTTCCACTATAGTTCGCTTCCACAGTATCATATGTGGCACTAGTAGCTACGTAGTATGCTTAAACGACATAGCCGTCTACTGTTAATATATGGGTATACATGGCTGATTGAAATAACCAACCATGCATATATTTTTTCGAGCACTTAAGGTTGCAACTCCAATTTTGAGACTTGTCCAAATTATGGAAGTTCTTATATCCTTCTTATATCAATAAGATCAAAAATGACCAAGAAATCGTGTGTTAAAACTATAGTTGCTCGAAATCAAATTTTTCCGCCGATGGGAATTCGAAGTGAGACGTACAAACAAAAGATAATGCAATTTAATTAATCAACAAACTGTTATGTAGCAAAATTTACATAAATTCGTGTTCATTTAAAGAGATTTAAGCTCCTATGCCTTCAACATGTTGAACGAGAAGAAATTCGCGTTAAATTTGCATTTTAGTTTTCAGCGATGATTAGCATTTCAAAGCCTTGTGGGACTAACTTTGAAAGAAAAAATGTCCAATTCCCATCGGCGGAAAATTGTGATTTTTATGGACTTTTTTTGTCAAAGCAATACTCCTTCATTTTCCAACTAAATGACGCGTACGGCATGTCATTTGAAAGGTAAATAAATGAACTTAACAATGGTGTAAAAACCAACCGAATTTGTCAAATATATTCTGCGTTATTACACGCCAAATTTGGATTCGAATTATTTTGATACACACTGTAGTGAGTTATTTGGTCAGTAAAATACTAATCAAGGCGGTGACATAACGTCATTCACTCTATCTCATGGTAAAAGCCTGAAACATATATTAAAGGTAACGTAGTTACACTACAACAGGTCGCGAGGGGAATTTTTGGCGACATCATCATCCATATACTTGTTTAATAATGGCCGCGGCACACTTTAAATTTCTATTTTTAGGAGACGGCGCTTATAGAGGGATGTGTTTATTTGAGGACGGCGCTCTTTATTAATTGCTTTAATTTACCGTATAGATATTGACGAATGTCAAGGAAATCAAACGGTTTGCGATCAAATATGTACGAACACAGTGAGTTCTTACTTTTGTGGATGCAACGATGGCTTTTCTTTGGATTCAGATGAAAGAACTTGCAGTGGTAGGTTTATTCTATAGTAAGCATAACTGAGAGTGAATTGTTCCTAAACAGCTTAGCATACTATATATGATACAAAAATTTAGATGAGAATTGCAAAAATTATATATGTATACGGCTGCATATATTGACAGAAAGATTTTTCTAAATAAACATATTTTAATAATAGAAATATTAACAATTGCCCAAGAGCTTTCAGCTGACAAGGGGCTCTTGTTCTATATTTACAATAATTTATTATCAAGTAGGAAGTAGGCGGTAAATACATTATGACAATTTAACATTTCATAAAGGATCAAAAGTTAGAGTAATAAACAAGTAGAGGAAAAAGAGAGAGAAAATATTAATAATTAGGTGTATCACATGGAAGAGTAATACTGGACTACAAAACCGGTTTGGAATTAATTATAAAATCTTGTACTGCTAAGAACAGAATTCTATTTGAGTCAAAGTCAACTTCGCTATATATCCATGTATATAGCAAGTAATTAAGTTTACCATTATCATTAGCTGTAGTCCAGTGGTAAAGTAAGCAGTTGAGAGCGATTGGCCTGGAAGCGCGAACAATCCAACAAATAATGTTTACATGTCTCTCTCAAAAAAGGATTGACCCATTCACCTGAACAAGAGACAATGAAGTCGTAAGCCTCGTTGACACATTCTTGTACTAATTTGACGGACATTAATTTGTATAAATAAAGTGTCCACTGCATGCGAACACTGTAATTTCGGCCCCCAAACAGTTTTCAAAAACTTGGCTGTCTATAACAGTTCCACCGTTCTAAACGTCATGTTTTTAAGTTATATGCCTCAGATATCAGGTTATTCATCTTTTTCAATGTTTCGTCTTTCGGATTACGTTAGTTTTATATTTTGTTTTTGGTATGTTTCAAGGCTTTGGCGGCAAAACTTAAACATAACAATGTTTTCATTTAATTATGTAATAATTAAACATATATATTTTATCTGCTATGCAATAAATATTTTGTATATTTTTTAAACCTACAGATATTGACGAGTGCTCAAAACCGAATAACTGTAGTCAGCTGTGCAATAATACAGTCGGCTCATATGAATGTTACTGCAGGATCGGATTTTTAATCAATTCTGATAACCCCACAACCTGCACAGGTAAATATTCAAACGATTTTGATTTCTGCTCCATATCACCTGACACGACTAATGAACCTATTTCATTTACACACAAAATTGAACCTTATTTATAGGTTTTTTAGACAATATTTCTGCCAAATAGTCTACTCTACGTAAAGCAATAAGAGGGAACGCAAAATCCCGCCAGTGCTAATGTAGGCAATATAAAAAATCAATGAATTAATACTAAAATTTTTTCTATGATTTTATTTTGCAAAAAAATATTTAATATGTACAGATTTGATCATTATGGTAAATGCCGTGGTTAGGTTGAATGCTAATCCCATAGCATTGTCAGGACAATTACCAAGGGAATTCTCACTTTGCTGATTAACATTAGTCGTATATAAACCAACGTGGGGATCACGCAAACAAAATGGCCAACAAGATATAGAAAGGAGTGTTAATTTAAAATACGAGCAGGAGTGTTTATCAGATATAATATGCCTGATAAAACACGGACTGTGAGTCTCTTAAATGACTTCACGACCATTTGATTAGTTCATTGGCGACGAAATTTCAAAAATAAACGTCGTCGAGGTATGAAAATCAAAGCTAAAGTTTATGTAAATGAACAGGATTTTTTATCACTTATAAAACCATCGACACAGCAGTGATTTCCCTTGTCTTCTTCTCATAAATTACTATAAATTAATAACTTTATTTCCAGCGAAAGTCCAGTGTGACGCAAATAATGGCTGTGATCAGATATGTTACATCGATCCAATTCAAGTCGGACAAGAAAAATGTGCCTGCAATATTGGATATAGTCTTCAGGAATCAGATATGAAGTCGTGCGACGGTTAGTTTATTGCATACCACATTACCAACCCTCGAAAGTATAGAAATCCACTAAAGAGTTGAAGCCTACTATGTGCATGATATTTGAAAACTTTACCTTCTTGTACTTTTTATTTTTTATCTTTTTAAAATCATTTTTAATTATTTTTAATTCATTATTTTAATTATTTTCTTATATTTGATATTTTTAATTTACTATTTTTATTTATTTTTTAGATTATTTTTATTTATTTGTTGTTTCTTATTTTATAATTATTACTTTAAAATTTATTTTTATTTAGCCCTTGCTTCCATAATAAATATCACAGGTTTTAGACGACTGAATATATAATTGCACTGTTCAGAATATGTACAGTACGTTCACTGAGTAATGTTCAATTATCCCGTTTCGCTTCTTAGACATAAATGAGTGTCAAAGTACACAAGACAATCTCTGTGATCAAACATGTACTAACACAGTAGGCAGTTACACTTGTTCATGTTTGGAAGGATATTCATTCACAAGTCCATCTACTTGCACAGGTTTGTATGCAATAATATTCTTTCATATTATGCCATAATAACTGAAGCGGACATGTAACACAAAAATTGTGTTATTCAAATTATACAGAAGAGTTTCCAAATGAAAGATTAACTTCCTTTTTCTATTATTTCTTTACATTTTCGTATTTTGTCCAATCCCTGCGATGAATTAAATTGAGTTTTGGCAAAGGTAATTTTGCCAGACGCCATACAGTGCATGTAACGCAACAAAAAAATGAAGTCACTTGAGTAAATACAAAAGTATCTGAAAAAATGATGTCACTTGAGTAATACAAAAGTATCTTTTGAGTATCTGAAGATTTGAAAGAAAAATAACATCGAAAACTACATGTTACCAAATTACGTTTAGTTTCAATGAGGTAACATGTACATCATGATCTTCGCGGTTTAGTTATAACCACTTCCTATTTCTTATTACTTGAACGTCCAATTACCAATCTGGATCCAGTTTGGCGAAGGCTAATATCGCTATCCTCAGGATAGTAATTTTTTCAACCGTTGTAAAGGGTTTAAAAAGCACTTTAATGGGGATATCGCTATAGATATTATAACAGTTTATGGCTTTTCCCATTCCCCATGTTTGAACACCGCGGAAAAACGTCTGCGCATGGGCACAAAAAAGATGGCGAGGAATTTAAATGCCAAATTGTAAACAAAAACATGGCTATTTAATTATTTAAGGTAATTGAAACAAAAAAAATACACTAGACGGGTAGTTTATACTGTACATTAAAATAAAAAAAATTACATAAAAATTATCGTTTAAGACTGGGAGGCGTGTGAACACCAAACTTAAGCACAAAAGTTAAGAAAACTATCGAATAGTTAAGCATCTGCACACGATTTAATTGACTACTTCTTGCACATGTAGACTATAATTATTTCCAGTGTTTAGGTTGTCACGTTCATTATTCAGCTTGAATTTTCATAGAAAAGGCAAAGCATCGAAGTCGCTCCTTGTCCCTTCCATTTTGAGTTTTTTACAACATTTGGAACACTAGACATCACGTTCGCAATACAGATTTCAGTAATGGTGACGCATGCGGTGTTCCATGTTTGTGTCTGTCATCACCACTCCCAGAAACCCATTGTATATATATTTAAAAATTTTCTTTTATACCTTCAGATATAAATGAGTGTCTTACTGGTGACTTTGTTTGTAATGGAGTAGGAGAGGAATGTGAAAACATTCCAGGAAGTTACAGATGTGCATGTTCTAAGAGGTTGAACATGGTCAGAGTTAATGGAACGTGTATTTGTAAGTACAGGAAAAAATCAACAGCAGGACATGTCTGTATTTTTCAAGATTTTTGTGGGTGTTGACTAGTGAGTTCTATAGTAGTCCGAATATGAATATTTGAGGAAAGAATATTAATATTTCGTATGAAAACATAAATATTTGTGCCGGGAACACTGCAAAAAAAACAATGTGTATTTTGAGCTAATAAAAGCTTGAGTAGACTATAAATAAATACACCTATATCATGACTAAAAATGAGTAAAATCACTCATATTTACGTGGTAAATTCACTCATTTTTATTTTTGTCATACAAGTGAATCTTTAATGTGAAGATTGAGTAAATTTTGCTTACGAATTTGAGCAATACTGAAAATTATTAGTCACTGTTACTTTACTCACATTTTTCAGCGATTATGAATTTATTTAATAATAATTTGCAGCGAATATTGCCACTAATGCAGATAGAAATATAGTAAATATTGAATGCTAGTAAAAAAATTCCGCTTCCATGCACGCCCAAAGTATGTATGGTTATAGCATAGATTTCAAGTCCGGGCAATTTGATCAAATCTGAGGTGAAGCCAAGAAAAATCCTAATCTGTTAAAATTCCTTGTTAATTTTACATAATTCGTGTAATTTCAGCTACTATATTACATGGAGTCTCTTTTTAAAGTTTTCTCCCCAATTTTTGCCCGACTTACGTTCATAATTTGCCCGACTTCATAATTTGCCCGACTTCTTCCGACACTATGAATGTAACTATGCAAGCGAAATTTAAGCTTTAATAGATACTTATCAATCAGTCAATCAATCAATTAAAGCAATATGGTTGGGTGATTTACTCATGAATTATTAATGAGTTTGAGATGGTTACCTACGAACTAAAAGGGAAATTCTTTCTCATTTTTTAGTTAGGGAAGACGAAAGTATTGTGGCTGATTTAGCTCCAGCAGCACCAAGTGCTACCCAAGAACAAACAGATAATGCCATTCAAATAACGTTGGCTAACTTTCAGGAAGTAAACGTGAGTTTATAAATGTTTTTTCAATATCCACATATACGTCGATCTTTATTGCATGTTTAATATACGGAAGACATATAGTTGTTTGTTTCTTCAATTTGCCCGAGAATAACATATAATTGGTTTATTTCAAATTCAAACACGGATCTAAAATTAGTAAGCTGCTAATACATTGTGCTTATAGATTTTTATCATGTTAGAATGGAACGTATATAAGCACGTCAAGTCCTGTATTAATTTAATCTCTAAGTAACTTATGGGCCACCTAGTCTGGGAAGAAGAAATGTATTAAGCCACCGTCTCTATAAAGTTTCCTTCACGCGACAAAGAAAAACAAATTCATCTATATTACTTTCCCCTTTCGTTTCTTCATTCACACATTAAAAATGCTTGTTCAACACCAAAAAATGGTGATAGTACAATAACTACTACGTAATTTTCTGTGTTTGAATAAAATTGCCATCATATTTATTCTGATCTCGTTAAACTTTTTTGGCTAAATCGATACCCCTCACTTTCCATAAAACCCTTTCTCCAATAAAAGTTAAAGGATCTTGTTGACGGAAAATATCGAGTGGAAATGTATATACATTTATTAGACCTAAGCAGAAACAGCCGCGAAGAATGCTGGGTTCCTGCCAGAAATCCAACCTGCGGCCTAGCGATTACGGTCTAGCGCTCTAACCAACTGAGCTACAGAGGCCAGTTATCGATTTCTAACCAAACGTTCATGTATGTATAATTATAGGGTATTGCCATGTTTAGGTTATGGGTAAATTTCAAGATTTTGTTGGCATCTAACTATAGGTTCAACAATATCTAAAAAGGGTCTCGAAGAACAGAATAAGTCCTGAAAGTCTAAATATATAAAAGGCCTGATCTCGTAAAACTTTTTGACCAAATTAATACCCCTCACTTTCCATAAAACCCTTTCTCCAATAAGAGTTGAAGGATCAAGTTGGAAGTTATCGCGTGGAAATTTATATACATTATATACATTTGCTGACCTAACCTGGAATAGCTGCGAATAATGCAACTATTGGTCCCTGGCAGGAATCGAATCTGCTATTTCCTGCACCGTAATCGCACGGCCGCAGGTCGTTTCGTGCCAGGAACCTATATATAGTTGCCTTTTTGGGAGCTGATCCTGGTTAGGTCTAGAAATGTATATAAATTCACACTCCATAATTTCCATGAACAAGACCCTTCAACACTTATTGAATCGAGTGAGATGCCATCGAGCTTGATATTTACCCCGAAAATAGCAGCTCCCAGTGCTTAAATAATTCAACCAACACTGAAACACAAAGTTTACATAATAAACTTCTTCCGTTCTCGCATTTGTTTAGTACACCGTGGAGGCTAATGTGCTGTTTAAAGATTCAGTGGTTAAATTACTCAATGACTTTTGTAACGAAAACACACTCAGACCTCAAGATTGTGGGGTGGAACAGTAAGTTGATATACCTTATTGTCATATATGTGAGTTAGACTTTGTCACAAAAGCTTAAGGGCCGCTGTTCCAAACACATCAAATAAACATATACGGTAGATCTCAAGAAATAATTTTAATTGTGATTCTATGACGTCACAAATGCAACAACAATATAACATGCCTGCATGGTTTTAGTGGCATGAATTCACTATATTGGGATTCATAATACAAATACAAAATAATATACATGAACTTTTACCCCAAATATAGGCCTAATTATCAACGATGCATTTCGTATTATGTCTATATAGAAACCAGCTATTCTTCAGTGAATTAAACGTTAAACGGCTGCCCAGTTACCCCAGCAATCAAGGAAATGACGCCATTATCCAATTCTACGTCGATTATCCAAGCATTATAAGGAATGCCACTGTTGATCAAGCTATCTTAGCATCTATTGTGTTTGCCGAACTCCAAAAACTTCGAGACCTAACTGGTTTCAGCATTACACTCGACACTTCAGTCACACCTCCAAGTCCAGGTACTCCGACAGCCACTCAGAGTGCAAACGCAGTACAGCTTCTAATATCCAGTTTTTCAACAAGTCAGGTAACTATGGTGTTGTATTGTATATTACGAGTCCAAACCAAAATAGTAGATAGCAAATAACATAGTGTCTTTACGTTAGCACAGAGCGTTTTCTAAGCCTAGCTAGTTAGTAACTTGATATCGATAGAAAGTTAATAAATAAATGCAGTTTGCCAACATAAAAAAAAACTATTAATGGTTCTAGCCATGGAATATCTGCCCTTGAGCATCTGAAATACGACGTATATCCAATTTGAAGTTTTGAAACAAATTAAAGCCTTAATTAAGATCGAAAATCCGATTCAATTCAATGCTTGGTTTAATTTTATTTAAATTTAAAGGAATATATTTGTTTGTAAGACAATAACATTTATTTTTTTATGTAATATTTCAAATCCGACAATGAGGATTGGACTACATTTCAAGTCCACGCAGTTTGATCAAGTCCGAAGCAAAGCCGAGGACTGGATCAAAATGCGAGGAATTGAAATCTAGTCCAGTCCGAGTTGGAGGATTTAAAATGACATCTCATACAAACAAATCACTACAAATTCATTTTAATCCAGTCCAAAGGCTGAATTAATTTTGATCCAGTCCTAGGACTGCAACAATATACTTCACCAGGTATCCAGTATTATCATGTGAGCAAAATAAAGCAATATGGTTGGCTAATTTAGTCATGAATTATTAATGAGTTTGAGATTATATTTTAACAGTGGACTACCTTTTATGACACCGTATTCCGGCGAGCAGTCGTTGTAACCCTGAACAGATTTTGCGAAGTGGATACATATTCGCGTACTGAAGACTGTGGTCTATCTGAGTGAGTATAATGTTGGATAAATACTATATTTTCTACATGGCCAAGTAATGCATTCTAGCAAAAGCACAGCGCACTACATATATTTCTATCGAAATTGATGGAAGCACGTGGTTCGCGGTCTTCCCCTTAGGCCGCGGGTTGAGCAAACTATTGCATGTATATTGAGCGGAGATATGGTGTAAACTTGGGCCGAGTAGAGCATTAGCCATGCGCGCTTCGATGGTTTCGAAACTTCAGGCCTATGAGCATTTACGATATGCCGGGCAGCGATAATATTCGAGGAACGCTAACAAAAGAATAACATCACTAAGCAGTTCAATATTGTGTTAATTTAGAGTATCTGTTCCTCCGACATGGCCACCATGCTTTTGTTCTACATGTACAAATCTCAAAGTGATCGACTGTAAACCACCAAATACTGTGTATATAGGCCAAATTTGCTTTAGTTTTCAAAATATTAAAAAATAAAGAAAAAGTGCCACAATACGACATCTCATGATTTTCCCGAATTTTAGCATCCATGGACTAGCAGTTCACTTCAATCAGAAAGTTAAGGCCGTACTATTACATCAAAATCAGCCTTCAAGCAAGATGTTGTACACCCGCTCTTTAGACAACACAGACAAATTTGAAAACATAACTACATAATTTGTGATGTTACTCTGAGTTTGCCTGACCACGGTGGGAATCGAACCCGCGACCTTCGGGATATAATACTAGTCCAATGCTCTGATCTACCAACTGAGTTACGAGGTCAAGTCGATTCGAATTGGTGATATTTCGGAACTGAGTCTAGTTCCTTCGATATCAGTGTATTCTAAGGTATAATAATTTTGTGTGTTGGTGTCATGTGCTCAGGTGAATAACATGTCACAAACAACATATACATAACACATAATTACACAATTCTCTGCATAATCACTTGCTTGAAACTTTTTACTTAACCAGAGTTTCTTTTAGTTCACAGAGCTTCGTTCTCGATAACATTGCTCGTCTTCCAAATAATCCAATTCAGAGTGGAGAAAACGTTCAAGTTTCATTTTATGTCAATCATCCAAGTAACACAAATCCTGTGGTACTTCAGAACGTTCTTGCTTCCATGCTGGTGATTCGCGAATCGGACCTTGAGAGTGCACTGTCTCAGCAGGTTCAAATCCAGACCTCTGCTGCACCAGCTACGCCACCGACCGCAACTTCTGGGCAAACAACTAACAGCGTTGTCATTCGAATATCGTCGTTTGATGCAAATCGGGTATGTTTCAGACATAGACGCAGTATAGGGACAACTCGAGTGTATTTTACACGCGGAGGTAGAAAGGTTAAAATTTTACACCGAAATTTCACTTTTATTACAATAGAACCAATAACCTGAAGGTTTCCCCCAAACCATTCTTTGTTTACGTAAAAATAAAATGTTATTTAATAACTATGCGTTTATAATATTATTACCTATATATATGTACTCGACAAACGAGGTGGGAAAAGCACGCCAAGCCACCAAAATCAATTCACCTCCAACAATTGTTTGTATCCCGAATCAACGCCTGCGAAGCTCTCCAATTTTAAAAATGCAAACGGCGTTGCACGGAATTACAATTTTATCCAAATCAAAACAATCAAAACAATTAACTTGTTGTTTTTTATAGTGGACGTACTTAAATGATCGTCGCTTAAGGAGTTCTATTGCAAGTCGGGTTGCTAGCTACTGTAGTGGTCATCTTGTGGACTGTCAAATACAAACAGGGTAAACTATACAGTCTATTATCTAAGGCGAATCGATTTTACCAATTCAATCACCTATCTAAAACCTGTATATATATATATATATATATATATATATATATATATATATATATATATATATATATATATATATATATATATAAAGAATAGCGTTGAATAAACAATGAACCAGAAATAGATTCTGCCATGACTTTAGCTTCGAACAGTCATGACAACGGATATAGTTTCACTTCAACGTTCCCTTTTCATTTTACCAATCAATCAATATCCTTTCTCAACGCAATACATTATTTATTGAATCAATACGTATATACTCAATCACAACCGGCAGATTATCCTACAAAATAAAGTATTGCTGTTGAGATTATAATAAAAGTTTCCAGATAAGCAAGCCAAAATGATAAATTCACAAGAAATTTTGTGAGAGAATCTGCTATGGGTATATAGGTATAGAATTTGACTAATTATTAGCCTTTTCTCACGCCATGTGACCAGGCCATCAGTGAAGTGAAGTGAAGTGAAGTGAAGTGAAGGAGTGATTTAGTCAGTGAGCTCCATATATATCTGGAGTAGGAACTTGGTTGCTCAAAGTGAAGCCAGTTTCGTGTTAACCGCGCATACAAAAACAATAGAAAGGGACTGGAACTGACGTCCAAGAGCTCCTTCAATTTCCGCCATCTTGGCAAGGAGTGTGTTGAAATTTCGTATTTTGACTTCGATTTAAAGAATAATATTGTGATTTTATGAACTGAAAACTTGATTAGTGATACGGTCCATTAGAAAAAACTGGAATTAGCTTGGGAAAATGGTATAAAAACTGTTTACGACCTTCAGAGCTATTGGACGTCAATGGCCGCCATCTTGGATTTTTTTTGGCTTCACTTGGCCTATTGCCAAAACATTAGAAGTTCCTACTCCAGATATATATATATAGAGCTCACTGGATTTAGTCAGGCAACTAGTATTTATAAACAATAGTACTTTTTTACTTCACTAAATTCATAGTTGGATGGCGTTAGAAAGGCTAATTATATTATTCCGCAGATTCTATGTCTACGAAATAATACATATCATTTTCAATAAGAACATGCACTGCCTTCTAAATTATTTTTTAATTTTACAGAGGCACAGCATCATTCACTGAAGCGAACGTTCAGCGTACTTCGTCAGCAACGCCATCTGATGTTGGTGGTAACAGTGTAGATTACAGTTTCTACGTGAAATACCCCAGTGGAGAAACTCCAATAATTCAGTATATCTTAGCTTCAGTTGTCAAGATTGAGTTAGATGCAATGCAGTCTGAATCAACCCTGTTCTTCTCACTGCAAACATCGTTCCAACCTCCCCCTCCTACTACGCCAAATTCAGATCAATCAAATAACACGGTTTCAATCAAGATTCGTAATCAACAGGCCGATCAGGTATATCCAGAAAAAATTATCTTTATATATACCTCAATTTGATTGGTTCACATGCTAAAAGATTTATTTATATTTCAGTGGCATGGCATTCAAGACAACCAGCTGAGGGCTGCGATAGCCACACAGATTGCAAGTTATTGCACAAGTAATCTGGTCACATGTGGTGTTACAAGGTACTGTATGATAATGTTTCAGAAGTAACAAATTACCATGCCAGTGATTGCTCTAAGGATTCATTACTGTACACTACACCATTTTGTGCAGTCAAGCGTTATTAAATTGATAAACGCTAGTTTTATTACGAAAAAAGTGTGCATTTTAACAACACATTTGTTTTATAAAATGTACATTTCGAATCAATTTCGATTCATCTTGATCGAGCAGTATATTTACAAGATATGGCGTATAATGCTAGCCTTTTCAGCCATGTCTGGCTGAAAGGTTGTTGCGTAAAGAGTAGAAGAGACTATAGATTTAAACCTCTCCGTGTAATATGTAGCACGACAACTTATTTGTCCCCGTCCTCTCTCTTGTTTTCTAAAGAAAAGCTGATAACGAATATCGTGTGGCACACGCGAATGAAAGAAATCGCGGGTGGAGAACAGAGGCGCGCGGTGGTCACACACGGAGCACGACAAAATTGAAACAAATATCATTTCATGTGAAAAATGTGGTTATTAAATCTTCTAATTTTGTTCTGTTTAGCGATCAAGTGTCGTTTGATTCATCACATGTCACTCGGATTGAAAGCTCCCCCGTACAAGATGGAGATAATGTCACTTATACCTTCTTTGTTAACTATCCATCTGGTAGTGGACCAATACAGCGCAATTTGCTTGCAGGAATTTTAACCGCTCAAACGGTAGCGATTGAGACAGCAACGAACTTGAGTTTATCAGTGGAAACTTCTACATTGGCTGCCACACCACCTGTAGCCAGTTCAGATCAAATGTCCAAAGCAATTATCGTGTCTGCGTCCAATATCCAAGCAAATCAGGTATAGGTTTTGCTGGCATGGAGAAATTTTGGAATTATTTCTTAGAATACAGTAGCTGACCTTTTATTGAGCTGATAGAGATAAAAAAAACAGATATAGTATTACAGTGCAGTTACCTGGAGCATGCGCAAAGTGCACCACAAATGCGAAAACACAATATTTTTGAGTTAATACCAAGCTTTTGATTCCGAACAAGCTAATAAAGTAGCAAACTCACGCAGCGACTTCGAGTATAATGCAATGGCAACCATCATAATTCACTGAGATGCCTGAAACGCATTCCTGCTTTTGACTGATATCATAACTAAAATTGGAGAGCCAGTTAGCTCGTTTCAATTACCAGTATAAACCGTACTTAGATTATGATTGACAATCTATGCACGAGGACATTAACATACTCATATTTGTTTTTAAATTCCAGTGGTCAGCCGTTCAAGATAGTAAGTTCCGAGGATATGTAGCTCAGGCGATTGCCGAGTATTGTCAAGCAAGTGTATCACAAACTCAAGAGTGTGAACTTCCAGCGTATGTTCTTCTATTTTGTAATATTTGCTGTACCGCATTATAGTCTAGTATAGCCCTTACCAAACGCATGTCGCGCAATATTTTGTTATGTGTACGCATGGAGAGATGCGCGGTACATTAAATCAAATAATAGGAATTCCAAAGTTTGACAAAAGTTACTCTTGACAAAGATAATCAATATATCGTTTCAGAAATCAAGCAACGTTTACGACCTCCCACGTCCAACTAGTGCCAGGTTCCCCCAGTCAGGATGGCGGTAACGTGAGCATACAATTATATGTTGATTATCCTGGTGGTGGAACTATGTCCCAGGCAATTCTTCTCTTAATTGTAAATCAAAAACTGACTTCCATTGCAACAAATACAGGATTACAACTCACGGTCGTGACGGTAATTGTAATTCCAACAGCACCACCACCGTCTCAGGAAAATACTGATAACGCTATAAATGTTGTATTGAAAGATTTCCAAGCAGATCAGGTTTGTTTTTTTCATGTACTTTTAATTCCAAGGAATAGCACTTTGGAAATCGTCTGATTAGGCTGTTTCACAATGTGTAGATATTATACAGTCTATTACTATTTAAAAATTTACCCAATGGACTTGGAATTACATTGATCTGGTCGTGCATAACGATTAGCTGAAATAACTGAACCTTCAAACTCTGGTTAAAATTCGATCTATATAGTTTATGTCAACTGTATAGATTACACTTATTGTATTTGCGATTCCTCAGTAAGGCGACCGCGCGTTCGAAATGAAGGATAATTATTGTGAAGTTTTTGCTAATGTAATCTATTTCAGTGCAGCGTAATTATTATGATTTAAAACAACATTATAGTGGCGGAAATCTCGGTGGGGCGGGGGGGGGGGAGATTTCCGCTACTGCTTTCTATAATGTTGTTTTAAATCATAATAATTACGCTGCACTGAAATAGATTACATTAAGAAAACTTTCAAATTTCCGACAAACCCCCTCATTTGCACTCGAAAGTGCAAATGAGGGGGTTTGTCGGAAATTTGAAAGTTTTGTCGGAAATTTAGAAGGCTTCACCCTTCCCCCCCGGAAAAAGTGAATTTCCTCCACTGATAGAAAGTACACATTGCGTACTTCAAATTTTATATTGATTTATATTGATAGTTGAACTATTTACTAATTTACTATTTATGTAGTGGTCTCTCCGAGATACACTGTTTCGGCAGAACATGGCAGAGGAAATCAGGGCATTCTGTAACATGTCAACGTACCATCGTGATATCTGTAACATTTCAGAGTAAGTCCTTCAAGCACAATTTGACTTTTAAACAAGATTGTATTGCAAGATATATAGATGGTAGTTAATAGCATGCACTTGGTTCGATATCGTCTATCCAGTCTGTTATGAGATCAGTTCATAATTTGGAAATGAATTTGTTCATAACAAACGGGATAGACTCTATGAAGCCAATTCGAGAGAGATTTGGAGCAAGTCTTCGACTACCACGGTGGCATCATGCCGTTCGGCTACCACCATTCTGAATTTCTTCAATATACTACTGTGTAACTGGGAAGATACCGATAATACTATTTTTATTACACAGTTTTAATCTGAATCATACATTTGACGTACATAGCTTCTCAAGTGGCTAAAAAATTTCAGATGAATATTTTTTCTTGATGTTATAAATTTGCTTCTTTACCACACCTTCTCGTGTTATAAGTTGAGATATGTGAAAATGACTTCTATACAGTAAATTTTATATCAATGTTTGCTGAACGCATAATATATGGATATTTCCGTATGATAAGTCACCCCTGGCATGTTATACCAGACATATCACTCGAACAGTTGATTTTAGCCCCAAGTGCAGTTTATTCGTAGATTAAACATTGATTATCTGCATTTCGCCTTTAGCGCTGACGTCAATGGTTTTACCTCTGATCACATTCGAAGACTTCCGAACTCACCCACGCAAAATGGAACCGATTCTATTCTCTCATTTTACGCAGTTTTACCGAGTGGTAGTGGTTCATTACCTAGCAGTGTCTTAGCAACCATATTTACGTCACAACAAGACAACATTCTCTCCGTGACCAGCGAACTTGAAAATCCAGGCGAAAGCATATCAAGTAGTCAAACTCCAGCTCTTACCCCTACCCAAACCCAAAACATAGTGGCAATAACAATTTTCAACTTCAAATCTGCAAAGGTGAGTGGAAAACATGAATGTCTAAAGCGATGAGAATTTAGTCAGCTGCAACCACTGAATTTCTCTTTTTTTTCGAGTTAGTATAACTATTTGAAGATTCCACTGTCTACGGTTGCTTGTTCAGCTAGGTTACGTGAAAGCATACATGTTGGCGAATTAATCCAGATTAATATGATTTTCTTACGCAATATTATTTATGGATTTATCGATTGTATCATGTTCATACGTATACACGTACTTTTAAAAAGAATATTAAAAACACGCTAACACAATAATCTTCAAGAAAATGAAGATCTACATATCAACATTCAAGTTTTTCTGGAAAGTTATATCTTATGATAATTAACAAGCTCCTGCATGCACAGTCTATATATAATTAGACCTAAGGCTTATAAATAAGCAATTATAGCAAAAACAATTGATTCCAGTTTCACAGCTTGATCGTACGCACTATCTATAAGTTATCTATTTACATGGGCGTACCGGAAGGAAAAAATTAGGGGGGCGGAAAGAAAATTGTCCGACTTTTCGAAATTGTGCCCGACTAGTACCAAAAAAATTTTTCCGGAAAAATTATTTTGGCGACCTCCCCCCCCCATTTCGGTCAGTGTACCATTTTAGGGGTGAACAAAATTTTCCGGACATACAAAAACTTTTCGGAATATCACACAAATTTTCAAAAAAACACTACATTGGCCACAAAATTGACTGAATTTTAGACAAAATTGACAGAATTCGTCCCATTTATTTTTATCACAAACCAAAATTGCCCGACTGTTAATCGAATATTGCCCGACTGCCCAAAAAACTGGGGGGGGGGG